TGTTATTCTTTACTAGGCACGACCTCCACGTGGGGCGTTTTCGACTGGGGTCTCAATTTCGACTGGGGCACCTCATCGGAGCGCGAAAACAGACGTCGCGGACACGATGCAGTCGCGCCCATTCGGACGCCAGCCATGGCAGGTGGCCTTTTCACAATTAGACGCGACTACTTCTATGAGGTCAGTGCTGAATATACATGGATGTTTTGTTGACTAACACCCTATTATTTCATTATTTTCTCAATATTCTTAAATTCTTTTGGCCGGGCTTTTGAACTAAAAGTCACTTCACGAAAATTGTCAGCAGCCGACAAATGAGTATTATTCCGTAGGTGGTTAGGCTACTCTAGCCGGAAAGGCTGGACTTACAGGACATCAGAGTTCAATTCTCGACAAATAAAAGAAATTTCCATCAGTTTTTTTCATAGCGCTGTCTGACCTTACCCAATTAGTGCTATAGGAGTCCTCGGTCTCGTCTCTAAAGAGTTAGCATTGTAACCTATTCGCGCAGTGAGGCGAGATATTTCGTAAATCACATCAGTGATGAAACTTCGCCGCCTTGTTTCCCCTTTGAAATTTCATGTGCCTTTGATTGTAGTCCAAGCCTAAATATACCAACCGGTCGGCTTTCGATGGGCAAGATTAATGTTGCTACCGAGGCATGCCATCCAGTAGACATGCGGCGGCACGGTGCCGGTCGAATTTTAACAAACACTTCTTCCAGCACGGGTCCGGAACATTAGACGAAAAAAGTCGCAATTCTTATGCGACCGGAGCTCAGATTTCTGTGTGCATTGTCATTAAAATTAATGCAATCGTCAGCTAACCCACGAAACTGCTATAAGGTCCACAGGCCTTTTCACGCGTATTCTCGTTGAATTATACAGCAGAAGATACGCCACTGGGTTGCAGGATGAGCGTTAGTCAACTTATGACGATAGCTCAAAAAGGCAGAAGGAAAGTTAGGTAAAATGGTTGAATCAATGTTTAGTGGGGGGGCGGTAATTATGAAGTATTCTGCAGCGTGGTTTCGTCTTTTCGTCAACGTTTCTGCTGTCCTCACCTCGTACATTGGTCTTATTGTTAGCAATAAACGTCCTGTAATCTTAGACGGTAGACAACCAGAGTGAATTGTCAAGTTAAATAACAGAATAAATCGGCGGGGATAGGCAAGCGAAGCTGTACCAACCACTGCGGGGTAACTGCGTAATATTCACAAGCTGCCACCAGACAGTCAATCGTATAACCCACGTAATTATTGACCATACTGACGGCAAGGTACTAGCTAAAAGCCCAAACACGTGTTTCGCCAATATTCTGCGGTTGCTTGGCGCACCTGCGAGGGGTCCCGGTCATCAGTGGGTCCCCCAGCATTCCCCATGTGTGCTTTCTGATAGATACTCCAGTTTTTACACTTAAGCTTTTTGATTTCCCTAGAAAGTTAGGAACTTATTTCTGCGGCAACTGGAAAAAGCTTGAATTTTAAAAAGGGGGTATATCTACTAGAAAGCATACATTGAATGTTGGGGGACCGACTGATGAGCCGGACTGCCCGCAGCTGTGTCAAGCAGCGACAGAATACCGGCGAAATACGTGTTTGTGCCTTAAGCTAATACCTGTTCTGCCAGTAGTGTCAATAATTACTTAAGCGAATTGCCGTCACTGCAGCAGGGCCTTCTCCTCCCGCTTCCTTCTGAACGGCACTTTTTCAAGGTTACCGCCATGGGTACTACCCTAGGACACACGACGACATTTAGTCCTCTCTGGTATCGCCACAATTACCGAGGAAACGGCATTTCACCAACGAGTTCACTTTGCCAATCTTCCTACTTGTAGGGTGTGACGTGTGGAACGTAGGATTTTGTCACTGTGATACCTGGGACCGCATAGACTGTCCCCATCCACCATCAGCACATCAAGGCATTTGCTAGACTTGTGCCACCCACTCGACGCTCACTTAGATTGTCGTTGTGTGCTCACAAGACAACACTCACTAAAGCATCGCTTACCATTCACACAATAACCGTGCGATAAAGTCTGCCAATGTCAATAATGAGGGGGCGATTCATGACCTGTATGGGTATTTGCGTCAGAAATGCGTTAGACGCTGGTTCCGTGTCATGTGAGCCGCTGAATCAAGTCCTGTGTCCAATCCTCTTGACCCGGGCTTAATGTTGGTATTTAGGAGGGAAGAGGATGTCATGCTTTTTAAATAGGGGCCTAATCACAACTTCCCTGGCTGTAAACCATCAAATGCGCTTCTAACAGTCAGTCCTGGTGTGTTAAAGATTGTGGCCTGGGTGGCTATTAACTGACGGGATAACGTTCTGCTTCTGTGAACTAGG